CGGGGACAGACGGAAAGGTATAAGGAGGGAGAGAGAATATTACCCAGACAAAAACCTTAACTCCCCTACACGATGTATCAGAGACAATTGGCAGCTGTAACTATAGTTACATGGTCTCCTTTCCATTGAAAATGAGTCACACCCTTGAATTTGACCCCATGGCCTCTTCTTTTTATCATACCAAGCTCACTATTCATTTCAACTATTTTAACCATATGCCCTCTTAGATTCTGTAACCACCTCCAAGGCCCAGCTCATTTTTCAACTGCTCAGAACATTTCTCAATAGTTTTCTCTACTGGTTTCTCCCTCTTATCTGTCATTCCCTCAATTCATTCCAGCTGGGCTTCTTGCCATATCCTGCCTACAGCTTTTGTCAAGGGTGACAGTGACTGCTGGATTGACAATCCAATTGGCCCCCTTCTACTCTTACACAACTCATCATAATAGGACTTAGCTGATCACTCTTCTAAAACACTTAGCCCTCTTTTTGGCAACTGGGGTCACCTTGTTTTCTTCATGCTTCATTGGCAGATCACTCTTTTTCTTGTTCAACCTCTAAGTCTTTAGAGCTCCAAACTTTACTGCCAGATCCTCTCATGTGTTTCTCCATCGCTCCCAAGGCCAGTGATTCTCAACCTGTGGGTCAAACGACCTTTCACAGGGGTTGTATATCAGATGGCCTGCATATCAGATATGCATCATGATTCATAATGGTAGCAAAATGACAGTTCCGAAAAGTTTAACCTCTTTATGTGACTGTCCACTGACCTACTACATATCTCAAAGACATCTCCAAGATAACTAGTAGTATGGACTTTTTTTTTTATTTTTCTTCTGAACTTAAGCCTAAATTTGTTGCCCAAACTTGCTAATGATACCATAACTCCCCAGCCGATCAACCAACGGAGGAGCTGAAAACAGCCACAGGTGCCCTTGCGTCCTTTATTCGCAGTGCTTTATCCAATAAGGCAGCAAATCCCATGCCCCTTTCTCCGTAACTCATTTCCAGTCTGCCCTCTTCCCTTCTTCCCTTCCGTGACAATTCTGCCCACGTATCTATTGTCTAAAGACAGCGACTTCTCTTAACGCTTCACACCCTGCTTTGTCTCTCGTGTTCCATTGTCCGTTGCAGCTAGAATACTTTAAAGACATAACCATATTTTAAGATCCTACCTAAAAGGCTTCAAAGGCTCCTAATGGACATAAAATTAACATTCAACCTTCTAATCTTAAAAGTCCTGCATAGCCTGTTCTTTGCCCACCTCCTCAGTTTCTAGATAGAAACTTGTCCCTGGCATATTAAGTGGACTTACGTTTAAATGTTTGTTAAATTGGTGATCTGAAATCTAGTTTACTGTACCCAGCAACCAAGGCAGAAAGCTGTATAATCAGGTGCATACACGGTCATTTTTGAAACACAGCTGTACTAGAGTGGGAAACCATTCTTTTTGAGCAATTCTAGATTAGCAAACAAGAGATGTAATTACCTTATTATTACATCATAGGAGTCGATTTTTTCTCCTAATGTCTTATTCTTCAACACTCCTCCATTACCAACCACCACACATCTTTTACACGGCACCCTGTTGGGCAAATAGACAAGTACGAGATTGAGAAGTCACATTTTTGATTTCGAGTGATTCTAAGAACCTGTTCCTGCTTTTAAGAACTAAGTGAAATTTCTCCCATCATCCAAGTAGAAAAATAACCAACTGTGCTGGTGGTCCAGAGATTCAGGAAAAATAATGCTATTGGCGGAAGTGTATCAACCCTTAGCAGCTAACACACACATCCATTCTCTCCTGTGTTCCTTGAAATTGCCAGTTTAGAGAGAAGCCTGAGAGCTCCTCATAGATAAATGAAGAAATAAATTTTGGAGGAAAAAAAATGTATCACTCAAAGTCCAAACTCCAAACAGGCGGGACTAACATTTGGTTCTAAACTTTCACAGTACCAAGGTGTTCAGTCAGCACAAGCTTGCTGTTACTAACATAGCTCGAATTACATCACTATCTGCTTTTAAACCTGTGTTCCCCATTCCTTATCTACCCCCTGGCTTTCTCTTGCATCAAATGTGTGGAAATGGCCGGTTTGGAATGTGGTAGAGGGAAGGCAGCTTTCTCCACCCTGCCTGGCCTCACTTCAATTTCTCAAACACTGACTGTTTCTTGGTGTTTCAGCCAAACACAATGTTTTCTGTGCTTCCGAAAAAGCTTCAAGTAGAGCACAAAGGGGACTTCCAGGACAGAGTCAAACCCTGGGGTGGCACAGCATTGGCCCTCAGCTGATGTGACACTGGCCTGGGGTTTTCTTGCTCTGACCATCATCCACTAACTAGTCCTAAGAAATGACAGATCTCTAGGAGATAAGACTGTGGAAGAGGAGTCCACAAAGCAGGGGAAGCCTAAAAGGCAAACGTGTTCCTCAAGCAAGCAGCAGAGCAGTCAACCCCCAAACTCAAAGACTTTTAAAACCTTCATGTGTAGTAAAACTGTACAAATGCTGTACGGTTTAATATTTAATATTTAATACAGTGTAATATTTAAACCTAGAGAATGCAGGAGTGGAGAAACACTTTCTTTAAAAAACAATACTGGGTTAAGTGATGACATATGCAATCTGTAGTCAAGTTTGTCCTTTTTAGAGACTTACATATTTCAATGAATTATGTCGTTTTAACACTGATATTACAAAAGCACTCCTAAAAATATAAAATTCCTTGCCTGTTTTAATTACATTTATTCTCTCTCAATCTCGTGGAGGGGGCATACAAATGTGGTGGTCAGAGGACAATTTCTAGGAATTGGTTCTCCTGTTCCATGATGCAGATGCTGATGATTGAACACTGGTCACATGACTGGTAGTGAACACCTTTACCCCCGGAGCCATCTCAGCAGCCCCTCACCCTAAAATATTTTCACACACTTTAACTGGAGGCTTAGTTCTCAGCAAGTATCAGTGCTGCTGGCATTGGTGTCTACTTCACCAGATAACAACAACAACAAGTTTTGTGGGTATCAGGAATTTGGGGGCTGAAAGACAGGAGGCATTTTATTGCCCAATAAAAACTGTGCCCAAACTTCCACATGATTGGTACATGTCACAATATGTTCTGGAGGGGTCCTCTTAGGTTTGTATATTTGAGAAAAGTAACTTGTCTGGAAAGCGAATGTGATCTGGGTGCATTATGTGAAATTTCCAAATAGTCAACAAAAATATTATGTCGAAAAAAATAAAGTAGTTTATGCATTAAGGAAGGAGAGAGGGGGGAGGAAGGAGAAAGAAAGAAAGAAGGAAAGGAAGGAAGGAAGAAAACCTCTCCCTAGAGGTGTTTATGAACAAGTGTGACCTCAATACGAACTGCAGGAAGCCCAGCTCACCAAAGCTCTCTGCTTCTCACTGCTGGAGGGAGGGTACCACTGGATAGTGAAACTCTTTTCAGAATATTATAGCTGTTCTCCTCAGGAGATCTGTCCCTTAAATGCCCTCCACAGGGAGCAATTCCCTCTCCAGAAACTCAGTGTCAGTTCTTTCCCAGGCTGATCCAGCAGAAGCTGGCTCCCCCCCCTCACCCCACCCCTGTCACCTCCCACTGGAAGTCCTGAGCAAGCCAGCAGGGGTGGCTCACAACAGACAGGTTAGAAGCAACAGCTGTTTCCATGAGACATCTTGGATGGAGAGGAGGGAAAAGCATCCCTAACCCCTCTGCCTCTAATGAAGACTGGAAACCACTTTCAGCTCTTCTATCCAGGGAAGAACTGCTTTCCCCTAAGCCCAGGGAGTAACCTCAAGACTCCAGCTTTTATCCTAACCTGGAGCCCCTATCTGATACCAGGCTATGGCCTTGACTACACCAACCACACAAGGGTAAGGGCTATTAGGAGTGAAGGCTACCAGCATATCCCCCTGGGACTTACACCAGGGTTTCAACAAAGGATTCCTGTCTCGTAAGCTCCAGCTCTGAAGTTGATTACTGAGAGAGGTAACTTGGCTCAGTCCCACACTGGGCTAGTCCCCTAATGCTGCAATTGTGTTCCTAGAGTGTACCTCCTTATAGGAGTAGGTTGTATGTGGCATCGTGACCTAAGGATTAAAGCCAGCCACCATCTGTTATGCTATCTCACTGATTACCCCTCTCAAAGTGGGAGTCCTAGACCTCCCACAGACCTTACGAACACTGTCAGCCAAGAGACCAAAGGATACAGGGTTCAGCAGATCTCTTCTACAGAGTCCTCTACAACTCACTCGATGATAGTGGGAATTCCATTTTCTGTTTTCTTCTTTGTGGGCTTTATTGGGGATAGGGAAAGAGGGGGCCTTTACTGGAGGAAAAGCCCTCCAGGCCTTCCAGGGGAACCCTTGTCACTGAGATTCCATCTTTCCTCAGAAGAAAGGATACCACAAAGAGGGATACACTTCTCTGAAGCTCACATAGGCTACAGGGGAGTGGGGGCGGTGCTAACATGGCCCTCTCCCAGTAGCATCTTACCATAGGTCCACTGCAGTTCTGGCAGGTACAGAATGGTACAAACTGAATCATTTATCCCAGAATCCATTTCTCCCAAACAGATTCTCATGTTCTATGAAAGAACTGATGCTTTCCACTCTTCATGATACACCTGACTTTGGACCCTGGCTGCCCTGGCACCTTAGATATCAGGAATGATTCCCAGAATCCCCTGGTGACTGTGTAACTTCGTCGTGTTTACTTTTTATTTGTTTGTTTGTTTTTTGAGACCGGGTTTCTCTATGTAGCCTTGGCTGTCCTGGAACTTCTTCTGTTAACCAGGACGGCCCGGAACCCATAGAAATCTGTCTGCCTTTGCCTCTGGAGTGCTGGGATTAGAGAAGTGCACCACCACCAGCACCACCGGGCTCATCATGTTTACTTAACAGGTTCTTCATATACAAATAGCCACGGTGAATTTTTTTGAGTGCCCAGAAGAAAGAATCGTGTCATTTTTTCTTGCCTGTCACTCCAACTAAACCACTTACCCCATTCATAGGTGTTTTTGGTTTGGTTGGGTTCTCACCTTACGTGTGTGTGTGTGTGTGTGTGTGTGTGTGTGTGTGTGTGTAAGTTTTTTTCCTAAAGTGTCTGGAGAAGAGGATTTCTATTACTCTCCCCTGGGGAAAAAAAGTAAGGAAATGCAAAGCTCCCCTCCCCCCAAAAGTCTTATCCACAAATCAGATAACTGCAGAGTGTCTGAACTTGTTAAAGAAAAACCTGAACCAGCTGCTGAGGAAGTAGGGCAAAGATTCACTCCCCCCAGGGGAAAGGCAAGTTTCTCCTCAGATCAGGCAAAACCAAGAGTCACTGCTGTATAGGGCCACAACCCCTGGCAGAGTCGCTGCCGCACACAATACACAGAATGCAAACTGTAGCTGCTGTTACAAACCACCAGAGATGGGCATTCATTATTGTGCTTTTAAATGTTCTCTTTCTACCTTGGCCACATGCCGAACATCAAATCATGTCACTCTATCTTCAGTGTAAGAATCTAGGCAGATACTACTGGCCATGCTCTCAATAACCAGAAACTTGTTTTTGTAAGCCTACAATGGAGAGCTCATTATCCCTGACACTGACTGGTCTAGAGGCAGCCACGTGACTCATCCCATGTGCTCAGTCAGATAGGAGGGTAGCCTGTCAGATGTTTTCAGAAAAGATTCTGCCCCTGGAAAGTGAATGGTAGGAGTAAAACATTATTTTTGATCTGCCTCTTCCTTTCAGCTTAGACACTGACAGTGGGGGACATAAGGTATCCCGAAAGAGAAAAGAACCAGAGAGAGTCCTCCGTAACACCATTGAGCCACTATTCAACCCAACCAGAGACACACCGTAAAGAGGCTGAGACTGTACAGTCTCAATTCAGGAAGCTTCAGTCAACTTGGGTGCAAATTAGCACTCCCTGGGGTTATACACTTTACACTCAGTGAAGCCATGGGCTGATACCCTACCAAAACTACATACCTGCAGATCTAAAACCACACATGAGCGATAAGACGTGTTCAGTCAGCAATCTATAGTCCTTGCAGCCAAACCCTAAAATAACACGTAATCAGGGATGGAAACTGGGTTCTGGACTCATGTTCCCTTAGTGCCTCTAGGAACTAGGCTTGGCCATCTGACTCTCTCATCTCAGTTTATGTGAAGTACAGAAACTAGTTATGTCTTCTGACCTTCCATGTTGTGGGGTTTTTTTGTTGTTGTTTTGTTTTGTTTCTGGACAGGGGCTCTTTGCTCCGGCCTGGGGAGCCCCAGCTCTTGTATCTTTTCTCAGCATCTGTGCAGAGATGACAGAAAACAGGTAGTGGTTGCCCAATGCTTCTCCCACAAATGACCCATCTGTTGGTCACAGCTTCCTCTGCCCTCAGCCCCCTCCACCCCTCCACAAGCATTGAGGTAAACAACCTTTCACTCAGCAAGATGTTGGAGTATGGACAGGATGCAGCCCTTCACTGTGCTTACAGTGCCCCTAACAAGCTTCTGTTCTTTATAACTCTCCTCACAGGCTCCTGCTCAGCCTCTCCATGGTAACCAATCCAAGTGAGTTCTGTTGAGCTGACACAATGGGTTCTACTTCAGTGAGCAGCTAGGCAGTTTTTACAACCCATCACCCATTAGTTGCCAACCAACTTAACACAGGTGTTTCTCTTAGTAAGCTATTAATATGTAGTTACTATGTAACTACCTAGGCTGCTGGACTGAGCATTCTCCATCTGGTGGGTGGGGGCGGGGAGCTAATTGGTACATTTGAAATGAGAGCTGCAGTTCTGTATGCCAAGGATTTTGTGGCTTCTGGGGAGGGATAAAATTCCATACAAGAGATTGCAATATCCCTGGGGCTGGGACCAGGCTAGAGCAAGGAAATCATAAACTTAGATAGAATATGACCTTGTTTTAAGTGTTCCTTGCAATTTCCTTGTAAATGTCCATCTTAGGCAAAGCTCACTGGACATGGAAACGATGCTCCCTGGGCTTAGGTGGAGAGAAAAACCTATATCTTTGAGAAAGGACGGGAGCAGCACAGAGAAGCATGGCTGGGCTATTTATTTAACCCAGTTGACTTCAGAATTCCTCCATGGCACAGAAACACTTGGGGACCAAAGAGATGACAGAAAACTTCTGTCACCATGCTTCCTTCTACCCTTAAAACAGGACATACATTTTTTATTACATTTTGTTTACTTAGTTTGAGAGAGAGCACTCAGTTCTGTCTTCTCGATAGGTGGGTATTGGAGGTTGAACTCAGGGTTGGAGGCTCGGCAGCCATCTTACCAGATGGACACTCCAGGACCTAGACAACAGGCCAACATCACTCATCATCTTTCTAGCCAGGCATGGCCAGTGCATGAGTTTACCCTGTGGGCTGTCACCAATGATTGCCAGTGCCTGTTTAATGATCAGTTCTGAGGGAGGGAGAAGGAAAAGCCAGCCTGAGAAGCTTCAGCTCATGAGACTTGCCATAGTCATGACATTAGTCATGACATAACTAATGACTCCGTGGCAGGCGGCAAGCTTCCAGCTGAGACTGTTAATTTGGAGCTGGCAAGAGATACAGCTCTCCCATTTTGGCACCCCTGACTCTAGAGCTCATCACTAGGTACAATGAAGAATTGTGTATGGTTTCTTGAGAGGTCCATAAGGAAGAAGGCAAGCCTCAAGGGGTGGTACACACCCTTCTCCCATTCCTCCTCTCTTCTGGCAGGAATGAAGGTATGATGGGATATTGGATCCTAAGGAAACAGTCATGTACTGAGGAAACAGTCCTGGGCCCTGATGATCAAAGAATTGCTGGGGGAACTTTGCAGCCTTCATGCATGTAACCAAAAAAAAAAAAAATGAGAAAGAAAGACAAAAGTACTCAACCTATAAATATAACTGAGGAATTTCCCCCTTCACAGAGGAATCTACCAAAGCACCAGGCACTCTTGACAGAGCTATAGGAGCCAAACTAACGGAGTCTTAAAAAGTGTTTATACTTGAAAGAGCAAGAAAAGTGCTATTCTTTTCTGGAAATGAGAAAGAGGACAGAGAGAAGATAAAATGAAGGGGAAGGGTTCAAGTGGTTAAATTAGCCATAGCCTGATGGGGAAGGGGAGCATTTGTAGCAATGAAGATGAAACAGTGGGGACAGCCAGACCAAGTCAGTAAGAAAGGAGGAACCGGCTGAAGACCTCTCTTTACCTGAGATATCCTACGAATGCAGCTGAATCAAAAAGTCTAGTAGTAACATTCAAAGGAGACAAGAACGAAGATTCTACTCACAAACTCTCGAATAGAACAGTTTGCACTTACAGAACTGTTTTCAGATCCCTGCTGAAAACCCTTCCAGGGTCCGTTCTTTCTCAAGTTACAGACATCCAGGCACTGGCACTGCAGCTACCTCTGCTGTCATCCTAGCTCTGCCATTTCCCAGCTAGAGCAAGTGTCTGTCTGTCCAGCTGGACTTTCACCTTTTGCAAAATTAGAGAAAACTGACCTACAGCACTTAAGCCAACCATCTTCACAAATCAAAACTCTACAAAGGGAAACTATGTAAAATGTGAGGTGTGTGTGTGTGTGTGTGTGTGTGTGTGTGTGTGTGTGTGGTGTGTGTGCACGCGCACGTGCGCACATGTGCATACAAAACTCTTGATATGTACTGGGTGGTGATGATACATGCCTTTAATCCCAGTACTTAGAAGGCAGATCTTGGAGTTTGAGGTCAGGCTGGTGTACAGAGTAAGCAACCGGTCTCAAAAAAACCAAAAGCAAAAAAAAAAAAAAGAAAAAGAAAAAAGAAAGAAAGAAAGAAGGAAAGAAAGGAAGAAAGAAAGAAAGACAGACAGACAGACAGACAGACAGAAAGAAAGAAAGAAAGAAAGAAAGAAAGAAAGAAAGAAAGAAAAAATTCTTGATATGTAACCAAAGTTAAAACTGACCATTAGGTAGCAGAGTTTTGAATTACAAATTATAACTAATGGCAATAAACCAACAGACCATACATATTCCACATTTAATAATCTGTGTCTTCCACAGACCTGACAGATCTCAATAAAATGTTCCAGCTCTGTGCTATAAATGCTTTCTCCACATTCACTTCTCTGTCCAACACACCTTCTACATTGCTTAAGCAGCACTACTATACTTTTAGACAAGAAGGGAATTCTACCATTTTCCTTCTTAAGTATAGGTTTGAACTCCACAGGCCATTTTCATTCTTGCACTGTCCCATGGTCCAAATTCTAAATTGTATCTTCAAATTTTTTAAACAAGCCCACCTTTGAAAAAAAAAAAAGCCTGGTTTCCATGGATTATCTTGGCAGGAAAATTTTCTACACACTAAATTTATAGATAGAAAACTATACCTAAGAAAGCTGTCTCTTTCTTCAAATGGAATTCTCAACAAAAAGAAACAGAACTGCTTCCAATGTCCAACAGTCAACATTTTAAACAAGAAAAAGAGGCTATCAGGAACCCTTGGGATTTGGACAGAAGGTGTGGGAAATGGCCATGGATGGAGGCTCTGTGCTGGTTAGCATTTGCAAGAGAATTCATTCTTTAGTACAAAGAAATTAGAGATGATGACCATGGGTCAAAAATACCACGGGTGGAAACTCCTGTTGCTCATCATCGAAACACTCTGAAAACTGAGCCTGTCAGTGTAGCAACTTCTATATTAATTTCATAGCTAGTTTATTTCCAGGGGAATAAGAACAGAAATAACTATTGGAGTTTTAGTGACACACATCCAGTAGAATCATCCAGTGTATTCACAGTTTGCATTTCTAAAGGCAAATAACTTTGAGTCACTCTAAATAAAGCTGAAAGTCAGAGAGAAGGAAATAAACTCACTTGTCAAACTCATCAAAGAGAGCACAATTCTGCAGCTTTGAAAGGACCCATCGAAAATGTATCCCTGGAAAACAAGTATAGCATTATGAACAGAAGGCTGTCAATTATACCTTAAGAGTCAGCAAGTCACCCAGCTCCCCGACTACCAACTCTTGACTACCAACTCTTTCTAAGCACTATGGCCACATTGGAGAGGATCAGTGAAAAATGACAACTTATCTATATTGAGTATTGTGAGCAAATACTCAAAAAGCACACTCAAAAACAGTAAATGATCTGAAGTTATCTCCCAAGAGTCAAGATCAGTATAAAAACAGTCACAAATAGTAATAAGAATTAGCAGTATCAGATGATTCTGAACCATAAAATAGAACTCAGTGAATTTAAACCAATTAGTCAAAGTCTTTGATACGTGTGTGTGTGTGTGTGTGTGTGTGTGTGTGTGTGTGTGTGTGTGTGAGCACATATGGTATTTCATATATTCCAGGTTAGCCTGAAGATCTCTATGTAGCTGAAGATCCCTTAAAACTTCTGATCTCCATGCCTCCACCTCTCAAGTGCCAGAATTACATGTACAGGCCACAATACTTGGTTTATGTAATACTACCTGAACCCAGAATTTCAACCTATGCAAGCACTGTACCAACTAAGCTACATATATGTGGAAAATTTTAACGCAGGATCATTGAAAAAATAAAATATCACAAAATTATAACTGGCACCATTTGGGTTTTTAAGGTCTCCCCAAAATCTGGGTCTTTAAACTACATAAGCCCCAAAAGCTCTCCGTTAGCAGAGAGATTGCTATGTTGTTAAGAGGTGGAATAATTCTCTCTCGATTTAATGAAAATAAAAACCTATTGATAAAAATAAAATATCAAACATCTAGACCATGCTGATGAGATAAATAAGAGGAGAAATGGGGTTAGGGAAATGGGATCAGTAAAGTGCTTGTTTGCAAGTATGTCAACGTGAGGTCAATCCCTGAAACCCACATAAATAACATGGTGGCCTGTGCTTACAATCATTGCACAGGGAGGCTGTGCCAGCCTGGGGCTCACATGCTTGTCACTCAGACCCTACATCAAAAAAAAAAAAAACAAAAACAAAAAACAAACAAACAAAAAAATCGGGGTAGTCTGAGGAACAGCACATGAGGTTGTTCTTTGACCTTCAATTGTTTACATATATGTACACGTGTCTACTCACACTCTACCCACGCACACATGAACACACACACAAATGAACACACACACAAAGGTAAATGAAGGGACAGGGAAGAAGTTACCCTTTAAAGTTAGCCTAATTCTGAGCTCGAATAAAGTTAGGCATGAGAGCCCGGCTAAGTCCCACTGCAACAGAACAAAGGTAAAACCATTTTCTCCAGAACCACCACTACTACCACAAAAAATCAACAAAACTAAATGAAACAAACAAAAAAAAAAAAAAAAAAAAAAAAACCCCCTGCCACTTTTGACTCTACACTGCCTCTAAGAGAGTGTTTATGTCTAAAACTTGGATTTTTTTTTATCCTGACCCCAAACCTTATCTCCTGGGGAACCATTAGGAAACAAAAACACGTGACTCTCATCAAACAGCACTCAAATTAACAGGCAGGATAAGGACATGGTGACTGACCTGATGGCCTTGTCCCATAGGGCAAAGCAAAATCAGAGGTACCGTACTTGGAAGTAGTCTTTGTAAAATCAGCTGCACACAGAAATGGGTAAAACTGAGGAAACCTGGAAGGAAATAATCAAGCAGACCTTGTCAAATGTTTGCTATGTTTTTAGACATCTATGTTCATAACCGAAACTTACGGCAGTGGATGGCTTATGCTGTAGGAATTTTTTAAAAAAGTTTAAGACAACACATAAATATTAGATAGAGCTATGCAATTTTCAGGTATAGGAACCAAAATTATGTTACAGTGTAAGTAAAAGCCACACTCTAAGTAGCAAAGTGATAGCCAGAAAATTATGTAGGTAATTGGTACTAAGACATTCCAAAATTTTGAAGTACCATGTGCATATACTGTACCAACTGTAAAAACAGAGATATACTGAAAGCTAAACTTAACTAGAGAATTCAACTCTGCCCTAATGTCATTAAATTAAGCTTTACTCAAGAACAGAACTTGTAGACATCTGTCTTGTTGCTACATGTTCCATCTTTAAAATGTGTGCTGACTCCCACACTCCTCGTTGGAATGTCTGATAAAGACAGGAAGAGTTGTTGTGGTACCCAGCATAGAATACAGTTAGTCAACACCTGTTTAATAAGTGCATGGATGAATCTTAACTCCAAATCAACCTTTAAAGGACCATTATAAAGTAGGAACAGTGCTTATTTGTGTTATTAAAGAGAGGGAAACAGTCTTAGCATTCCCATTAATAAGATACTTTCTCCTACCAGAAAGACTGGAAGTTAGAGGGCAGGTCCCACCAAGCTTTACTGCAGGCCCCACACAGACACTATCTTTCTCCCTCCATCAGCTTTGCACTAATATTTAAAAGCACAGGTGGAAACCAGAGCAAGGCCAGGATATCCCAATGCTGCCCAACAAATGGAATTCACAATAGAGTGGAGTGTGACATGCCTTCAATTTTATCCTGGTTGTAAGAGCTGCATTACAAACTGATATTGTATTCAGGCAGAGGAAACAGGTAAGACACTAGCATTCCCTGACCAAATCTATGTGCTAGCTTTGGCACTGGTAGTGACAGCAGCCTTAAGGGCCAGCCACCCTGCAAAAGTCATTTCTAAATCAGTGTTGATCCCCAAGTCCAGGACCTACACTGGGCAGGGATAAGTGCCAAGACACCATTTCAAGCTTCAGGGAGAAGGCTCAAGATCCTCCCTATTCTCTTGGAGAAACCAAGCCCTAGAGTAAAGCTCCAGTAAGGAGCTTTCTCCCTCAGAGCTTGGTCAGGGCAATACGATAGTAACAGTGACTAGTAACTAGTAAGTGTTTCTTGTCAAACTTCTATCCATTGCTTACATTTACTTGCCAAATGATATAACTATTTGGCACATATCTCAGACACATTGAAAGTCCCAATAAGTATTAATTTTACCTTAGTAAGTATGATAATCACATCAAAATGTATTTTATCACAATGTGGTTCTGTAATTGTTACTTCTACAAATGCCTGCTATGGTAAGTATGGGTAGTGAAGCCCCTGCTTGGGGATGGAGCCACAGGCCACAGATGACAAAACTACAGCCTACGTAGAAGCCAAATTCTGAGGGAAGGAGTCCTCCACACAACCCAGGTTCCTGAGCAGAGAGCTTCCTCATGCTGCCTGGCTTTCACCCATATCTGAGACAGTGGCATTGCTCAATGGAACATTCTTGGAGAGTACTGTACAAATGCCAGACAAACACATGCCTACATGTCTGTCTCTTTAACTGCAGTCTTAGAAGCTCACTTAGCAGTCTTGAACAAACAATGGAACCTGGGGGAAGGGTCGCAAAAAATATACCTAACCAAGTTTGCGGGTCCTTTTGTTGGCTAGAAGTATATGGCCCAGCCATCTATCAAAGTGGCAGTGCACAGGGAAAGAAATATCTGTAGATGGGAGAATAAACTACAATTCATGGCAGCCACAATGATCACTCACTATTCACATTACATGTAGATCAATCATTTGCATTCCACATCGTTCTGTAAAAGTGAGGGGAAATTTTTAATAAAAAAAATTCCACATCTGCTCCTATCAGTTGCTGGATGACACCTCTCTGAGAGGGAAGGTGGAGTGGGGAGGACTGGGAGGAGAGGACAGAGGGGGAAAATTCTAAGGCACAGTTCTTTTTTTCTAATCAAATCTGAATAGGCCTCTCCAGTCTCCCGAGTTAAGAGAACACCAGCTTTAGTGTCTTTCCTGAAACTATACTCAGAGCTCTGGCTCAATGAACAAATGCAGGCTGTTCAGGGTCTTTACACGCTTCTTTATACATGCTGTGTCTACCATAAACCAAGATTTGCATGAAAAGGGTAAACAGTGTGAAAATGACCACAAACACATTATGCAAATGTTGTATGACTACAGTTTTTTGGTTTATTCTTACTTCAGGAGAGAGGCGAAAGGGGGCTGTTTTGGACATCTCTTGATATTTTTATTCTTAATTTCTGCAGTTGGTAACCTAGAAGAAAGAAATAGTGAAAGTAAGAAGTCAGAACCAGGAATCCTGTCCATAGAGGTATGTGTGCACCAGGAATCCACAGGATTCCAGTGATGACTGGCCTTTCTCTCTCTCTCTCTCTCTCTCTCTCTCTCTCTCTCTCTCTCTCTCTCTCTCTCTCTCTCTCTCCTGATGTTTGAAAAGGCCATGGAGACCTAAGGAACTGGTTCACAGGGACCTCTGGAAGGGTTACCATACTGTGGAAGCAAACATCAATCACACTTTAGTTTTAGAATTCCTCCAAGGCCTCCAAAAGCACACAGCCCAAGTGCATGTGGCTTTCACTCCCAAGTCATATGTGAGAACACCCAGTGACAGCAAATAGTGTAAACATTTGACTGAGCAGCTTGGACAGACCATTGCCTTGGGGTGTCACAAGTCACACCACTGAGCTTGATATATCGCTGCCCTCAGTTCATGGCTCAGGGGGTTCCTAAATGGAGTACTTATCTCCAAGACTTAAAAGGGTATTGTGAGGGCTGGAGAGATGGCTCAGTGGTTAAGAGCACTGGATTCTCTTCCAGAGGACCCGAGTTCAATTCCCAGCACCCACATGGCAGCTTAGAACTGTCTATAACTCTGTTCCAGGGGATCCAATGCCCTCATACAGACATACCTGCAGGGGAAACACTGATGTACATAAAATACAAATAAAATATTTCTTTAAAAGAGTATTATGAAACACAACAAGGAAAGTAAATGGGGTGGGTGGGAGGAAAACAGCTTCACTTCACTCTTTAGTCATCAACTATATGAAGAACCGATGCTTTAAAATTTCATTTAAATGACTGAATGAGAAAAAGAATAAAAATTTAATCAGAGCTGGGCGTTAGTGGCGCACTCCTTTCATCCCAGCACTCGTAGGCAGAGGTAGGCGGATCTCTGTGAGTTCGAGGCCAGCCTGGTCTCCAGAGCAAGTGCCAGGATAGGCTCCAAAGCTACACAGAGAAACCCTGTGAGAAAGTTTTCAGGGTTATAAAATAATAATAATAATAATAATAATAATAATAATAATAATAATAATAATCAGGTCTTTCTACTATTAGTAGGACTGGATCTGATTAGATTGAGACTTTTGTAGACAAATATTTTTTTTCTTTTTTGATTTTTTGAGACACAATTTCTGTGTCATCCTACTGTCCTGGAACTCACTCTGCAGATCAGGCTGGCCCCCAACTCACAAAGATCCACCTGTCTCTCAAGTGCTGGGATTAAAGGTATGTTGTCACTACACCCAGCTTAGTTTTTTTTTTTTTAAGATTTATTTTTACTATTTTATGAGTGTTTTGCCTGCATGTACATCTATACACCACATTCGTGCTTGGTGCCTAAGGAGGCGGTGAGCCCCCTTGGGAATGCTGGGAATCAAATCCAGGCCCTTTGCAAGAAACACTGTCAACAACTGAGCCAACTCCCCAGCCCTAATTTTCAGTTTTTTTAAGGGTAAAATCTCCATACTTAGAATTAGCAAGCTATTAAACTAAGAGGCTATAAGTCCTTATCTACTGAGATACTTTGAGAATACTTCAATGGTGAGGGCCATTTTGGTTTGTCCATAAGGATGACAGATAGATACGGTGGACAAGCGCCCACACTGTGTATCATATTCAGTGGGCAAGATGAACTCCATTATTTCATTTCTAAGGTTAGAGACAGAGAAGCAACACAAAAACTGAAAATAAACAGCTGTTTTACAACATTATGAAGACAAACTTTAGGTGGCTATGAAAACAAAGAATCATCTTTGTATTTTCATGTGTACATGTGGTATGCATATCACGTATGTATGGATGTAGCCATGTGTGTGTGTCTGTAAGTGGAGGCCCCAGGTTGATATTGAGAATCTCCCTTGATCACTCTTCCTCTTCCGAGGCGGAGTCACTTACTCAAGCCCAGACTTCTTCAATAAGGGCAGTCTCGTGAGCCAGCTTGCTCAGGGGGATTCTCTGGTCTGTACCTCACAAAGATGGGACCACACATGAGCTCCCACACCAACGTGCATTCTGGGGTTCCACACTCATGGCACTTGCCATGCAAGTAAGAGGCCTATACTGCTGAGTCATCTCCTGTTGGTGTTGTATTGTGTGTGCTTGTGTAGGCCAGAGAACCACTTTGGCTATGGTTTCTGCTTAGATGCCAATCTACCTTGCTGTCTCAGAGTCTCTCTGGCCCAGTGTATACTACCGCACCTGGCTGTTTATGTAGGAACTAGGGATTAAACTCAGGTCTTTGTGCTCCTATGAAAAGCATTTACCAATCAAATCATCTCCCCTACCCCTTGAACTGTCTCCCCAGTATAGGGAACAGAGGAAATCCTGAATAAAGTCCCAAGTGAAACTGTACACTTGGTATGGACACAGCCGTGTCAAGAATCCCATAACCTCAGGCTCAGAGGCACCCCAAAGTCTTTTTGAGGGGACTGATTCTGAGTGCTGATAGTGTATGCAGAAAATGTCCGCCATTGCTTTCTCCCCTGGTATGTATGGCCTGACGACTGTTCCCTTAGAAGACTGCTCCTGCCACCATCAGCTGAACCTGTCACTTTGATCCAGCTGTATATCGTAAGCCCTGTCCACTTTTCCAGCTGTCCGTAATACTGTGACTTCTTATTTCAACTGTATATACTAAGCACCCCGAGTTTCCAGGATGCTGAGGCTTCTCTAAAGGACAGCCTAGTCCATCCCCCAATCCCAGATTTCTATCCCTGTGTCCATCTGACCATCTTACCTTTATTCCCTCGAGGCCCCAGTCAGGTCCCTCCCTAAAGGTCATGCAAGGACTTGGTATCTCAGCTCCCCTAAAACAGTTTGAAAGGGAGCAATACCATGGTGCATACCCACATTAGCTGTGATAGCCCAGGTACTGTCAATGAGTAATGTTAGCTCAGTTTGGACACTCTTCAAAGTCTGGTGACAAAAGATGGTAGTGAATTCTGATGGGGAATGTACTACTGTGTATGTTTATCATATTGATTGTTAAATAAAATACTGTTTGGCCAATGAAACAGCAAGTTAGATGGAACTAGGAGTCAAAGAGGGTAGCAGAGAAGTGCTGATCCAGGCATGAAGTGACACAGCAAGGAGACTCATATTTAAGCGAAGGAGAGACAGGAAGGGCTCCCTTTTCCCCTCCGCTCCTGCTCCAGCGGCATGATGTGATCCACCGGCAAGGAGGGACATCAATAAGGCGTCCGATAAGATAAGTCTTATAAAATATATAGATTTATGATAATTAAGACTGAGCTAACAGATGAGAATCCTAGTCATTGGCCAAACAGCTTTGAACCTAATACAAGTTTCTGTGTATTCATTTGGGCCTAACTCGGGCAGGTGGCTGGCGTAAAGCTCACACGTGGCGATGGGGCTCAGGCAGCTTTTGGCAGAAAGATTTATTGTAACAGAATTCAAAGTATTTTTATTATCTTCTTTACCACTTCCTCTGTGACCATCAGGATGTTTACAAAAGTAAAATGGTAGATAACCTAATCTTAGGAGATTTGGAATTAACTGGGAGACAAGACTTTGTGTGGATCTGGAGGACATTTCTAGTAATGGCTAATTAGGAAAAGACCCTACCCTAGAGTGGATGGCAGCTTTTGGTAGGTAGCCCAGACAGAAAAAAGTTCAAAGGAAAATACAATGTAGCTTGCCTGCCTCTGTCCTTCACTGATAGAAACTCCAACTTCTTCTGTCTTCCAGTGTGAACTGCTTTCACCAGTGGGGACTGCTGAAAGCAAAAGCCCTTTCAAGCTGAGCCACCTCTGTAACCTGACCTTTCTGGGTTTCAGATGCCATTTTTGGACCATCCAGCCCCCATCGTGGAAGCCATCCTAATAAACCCTTTTTATAATATATGTACATTCTCTGAGTTCTAGTCTTCTAGAAAACCCTTTCTATTACAAATAGTAGCATAGCAATCTTTCTTTTATTATTTTCTTCCTTTCTTTTATTATTAGAAGGTGGTAGAGATAAGGGGAAAGACGCCTGTGAGATGACCTTCATTGAATGAGTTCTCTGGCACAGAATTTAGGTCCAAAGGCTAAAACTGTAGGTTCAAACCACCCAACTGGCATTAGGTTTTCTCCAAGTAGCATTTGTCCAACTTTATTTCATGAAGAGATACTACAATAATTCTTCAGGGATGAGATGAAAGTGCAGAAACAGAAACCTAGGATTTTCTGTTGAAACACTGACAAACTACTAAGATGGGAAGTTATATTCTGATTTATTTGGATTTAATTGTGTACTGACATCCATTTATAATTTAATGGCCATGCAGGGAGACAGAGAGACAGGCATAGATATATAGAGAGATTTTTAATTGATGAAAAACCCTGGTGGATAGCTCTATTTCTTTAAAAATACTTATTTTAAATTGTATATATGTTTGTGTGTGTATTTCTGTGTGATTATGTACATGTGTGTGTGTGTGTGTGTGTGTGTATAGCTGTAGAGGCCAGAAGAGAGTGTTGAATCCCCTGTCTCTATGTCTCCCTCTGTCTTTCTCTATGTCTCTGTGTCTCTTGTGTGTTAGTCTGTGTTGTGTGATTTTGTGTGTGTGTGTGTGTGTGTGTGTGTGTGTGTGTGTGTGTGTGTGTGGTGAGTATGTGTGTGAGTGTGTGTGTGTGTGTGTGTTATGTTTTTGTCCCGCTCTACCACTCTGCCTTTGACTCTTGAGGCAGAGTCCCTCACTAACCCTGGAGCTGCAGCTGATATTTGGCCAGCCATCACTAGTATTCTTCCTGTTTCCAATACATCCCTCCTCCCCAGTGCTGGGGTTACAAATGCACAGGGTTTTCATGCCTGGTTTTCATATGGGTTCTAGCAATCTACACCCAGGTCCTCATACATGTGCAACAAGCTTTTGACCTACTGAGCCATTATCTCTCCAGACCTACTCAACAGCTTTAAATAGATAAACAATCTCCCAGCATACCGGACCAGTAAAATCCCAGTGTACCGTGAAAAGCTAGACAAGATCCAACATGTTACAATATTGGGTACAATATTGTAATGTGATACAATAAAATACTCTGAAAGTTTCTCTAGATAAATAAGGAGAAGACTAGTTTGAAAGTCATGTTAAGTAATAAAACAAACTTACCAGAAGACATTAGTTCCCCACAGCAAACAGTGTAGTAGATAATAGAGAAAGATGGAACACAAGACTAAGGCCACCTGGTACCCTCTCATGGTTGGTCTGCCTGAAAAAGAGTCCAAAGAGAGGGGGACTTATGTAGATGATTTTCCATGATTGTTCAAATACATGAATTAGTAAATAAACATAGAGAGAGAGGAGAAAATGGCATAGGCCTGTAACACTGAAAATGCTCACTGAACATACAGAAAGAATACTTCTGCTTAGTCTTAGCAATTTATCAACATTATGATGTGGGTTTCCAACAAGCAATAGTTCTGTGGTGTCAAAGCTAGAGGCTTCCCTGAAGCTTTCTCATGTTAGCTAAAAAAGGAAAGAGTTCTTCAAAAGGAGAATCTATCTCTACACCCAAAACCTTTCTTCAAAAACACTGAAGAATATCTTCTTTTGATCCTTCCCAATAAAAAGGGGGTATGTGCTTTTGTATCAGATCAGGCCTCTTGGTGATTTGGGGGTTCAGAATTTGGGCACAACACCCTCCTTTTTGAGACAGCTGGTGAGACAGCCCCAGGGACCTTTCAGTCCCTGCCTCCCCAGCATTAGGATTGCAAATGTCTGCTACCATGCCCAGCTTTTTCTCATGGATGCTAAGGGTGGAGTTCATGTCCTCGTCCTTGGATAGCAAGCACTCTACCAACTGAGATACCCTCTTATCCCCAGCTGGAAATCCTAAGCCACTTTTTACCTTTGTAAATGCAACACACTATACAAAACCCAAGTGTTTTGTTTGTTCTGTTTGTTTTTAGAACAGAGGGTCATCCTAAGAATCACAATTGCCCCAGGCTTCTCAAGGCTGAAACTCACTGGTGCTAATGATAAGCAGAAGATATGCTAAGACTGTAATGGCTACCTGGCCCTTGCTTGTAACTTCTCTCTATCAGCTGTTGCATTGGACAGCCACCACTCCCAAACACCATTATAATAAATTAGCTTCAAGTGACGGGAGAGAGCAAGTAAACAAGGGAGTTAAGTATGTCAACTCTAGTCTGCACATACTTGTAACTGAGTTTGTGTAATTTCTGGGAAATGACATGCATGATCCACAGCCCAACTCCACCTGAGGCCAGGGGCCTTAGGTCAATCAGTTTGCTTGTAGCTCAAGTGCCCACAGATGTCTATAAGCGAAAGCACACCCTCATTCTCAGCTGGTTGTCACACTGTCCAATGTCGTCACCAAATATCTTATTTAAATGCTCAAAATAAGGATTTAAATTTGTATTCAGAATAGCATACCTCATGTAAATATCTAATAATGATATAACTTATTAGTCTCAGCAAAGTTTTCTAAAATATAGTTACACATAAGGGCCTAGAAGAGATGTCAGTAGCATTCAATCTGCTTATCTATCCCTTAAAAACACACTCTTGGGGGCAATTTTATAAAGCATGGCATTATGGGTAAGTGAGAATCTTGTTACCGTCTTGTTTTTTCACTCACTAATACTCCATATAACTGAAAACAAAGAAGTATAAGAAAAATATTCTTTTTTTTTCTTCAAAAAGTGAAATAAACCTGCTTTTGAAGAGGTGTACACAGCACCTAAAAGCAAACAAACAAACAAACAAAAAAACTGAGGAAGCTTAGGCACTTTCTAGAATTTCATGGCCTACTTAAGGCTTTGATATTCAAGGTGCAGAGTAGGCGAGCGCCAACCAGGATATCCTGGTGATAAATATGTATGGTCCCTCTGACTAGTCACAGGAAAAAGCTTCCACAAATAGACTAATTCTTTAATTGTAATCCCATAAATGGAATGGCTATGTTGCTCTGAACAAGAGCATGCAAAGGAAAACCTGTCAGGATTTCTATAGATGTGTATGGCTTTAAGAAGCTATAAGTGTCTAGAATGCAACTTCGACTAACAAGCACATTTTAACATCTTGACCTTAAACATGAAGGGTAACTGATTTTGGAGCACAGGTACCCTTCAAGTCATCACAGCTTTAACATGTGAGGAAGTCAGAAGTCACCTACTGAGGGCAAAAGCTGATTTTATTTTTCTTGGTGCATAAATAATTTTCAAGTGCCAAATCAAGCTCAGAAATAACAACAGTTTGGGCTAGGGGAAATGTTAATTGCTTGCCATGCAAACATGAGGAACTGAGTTCAGATCTCCTAAAAAAAGCTCCATGTGGGTGTGTTTTCTGTAACCCCGGCACTATGTAGAGTTGATGGGGAACACACAGATCTCTGGAGCTCTCTGAACAGCCAGACTAGCCAAACAGATGAACTCAAGGTTCAGTGGAAGACCTGGTCTCAAAAAATGAGGAAAGGGATTTCAAAAATGTTGACCTCTGGCCTATATATACACATGATTAAGTACCCACCCACTCTCTCTCTCTCTCTCTCTCTCTCTCTCTCTCTCACACACACACACACACACACACACACACACACACACACACAGTTTTTTAAGACAACTTTCCCTTCTAATGTACTGTTTGTATTGAGCGTCTAAGATCACAAATAGCCTGTAAGGCTAGCATTTCCTGTAAGGGTCAAAATAAGGTTATCAAGTGGATGTGTGGGTGTGATCCTTCAGATGGGTGAGGAAAAAAAAAGGGGGGGGGTGTCTCACCTCACACAATTTAAGAGAGCCAGAAAAGAGTTTGCTCTGTCCCTTAGAGATCTGTTCCTGGGTCATCCTGTCATCTCAAGATAAAAGGCAAGAGGGAAACCCAAAAGAGAGAATTATAATCTACAACTTCCTTATGATACTTTGTCGTTGTTCTTTTGGAAGTGCAAATAACAGTGAAGGGGCGCTTTCTCTAGGGTAGAGCCAGAGGGTCAGCACCAGCCAGGGAGAGATGGGAGCCACATTAACAAGTTAACACCCCTAACACATACGATTGAAGATCCCTGCTCTAGGACTCACTATAGAATTATGCAGAAAAAGAAAATGTTGGGTTTGTGAGACCATAACAGATGGTACAGTAAGTGCCCTCCACATGACCCCACAAGTGACCTGAAAAACACACACTGCCTTTCTTATTTTACTCCTAGCACAGGGCCTGTCACACAGGAGTTGCTAAGAAGATGTAGTTACAGTTATCAGAACTCAATGCTCTATACTAATTTTTCACTCTAAATGCCTAGCATGTGGCGCATGGCCAAGAACTAATGACGACAAGAACTCACTGACAAGTGAGCATCTGGGAAAAGGATCTGGAGTATGTATCATCACTTGCCACCCTTACAGTCTTGAGGAAATGGTACGCTTACAATTCCTATTTTAAAGACAAGAGACCTGAAGGGCTGAGAGAAGTTTCCCACCTGATAATGACAGAACCATGTGACTCAAGCAGTAGCTATCAGACCAGAGTCCCTGTACACACTATCTTTCCCAGGGGTACCCTTTCACAGATGAGCAGGTCCAAACTCTTGGTACCAGGTTAAACATTACAGAATGTTTCTCTCACTGTTATTTCCACTTCTTCGGCAGAATTAATCCAATGCCAGTTAACAAAATGGGAAGTTTACAGTCTCTGACACAAATTCTGCTGAAATAAAACCCTATTAGTCTCAACCCTTTTCCTTCCAACTTGCCCCTCCCCAGTATACTAGCATTGTTTGCAGAAACAAAGCAGACCCTATAAAACGGCACTAGAAAAATGGTCATGTTTTTCTTTGGGGCCCTCCTAATGTTTTCTCCAGCCCAAGGGAGCTTACTAATCTAAACAGCCCAAAAGAAAAAAGCATGTTCAACAACAATAGTGAAAACTCACCAAATACTAAAACACAGCAGTCTCAAATCAGTATCGTTCAACAGCAGATCAGAAAAGACCTTGGTGTTCGCTTTTTCAATGCTGAGCATTTGTTGCCCCTGCAGTCTTGGTTTCTATGTTGTTGTCGTCCCCCGTCCCCCCCCCCCATTTCCTCCTGGCCTTTCTCCAGGGGCTTTTGAATGTCCCTCTGTATAGCCACCCTGAAATCTGATGCTGATCATGGTTCAAGAGAAGGGAGCCTGTAGGACCCAGGGTTAGCAGCTCGACAGTTTCATCAGGTTCCTTTAGACAGCATTCATTTGCCAAAGATGGCTCCCATTGGTCAGTTCCTACATTGGATCACACTTCCCTAATATCTGCATTTACTTACCCATACTCCCTTCACTTGCCCTTCCCTAGAGGAGCTTGGTAGCCAAACTTGCTTGCTGGTTTCCTTCCGTCGTTGCTTCCCTGTTACTAAGGTCCTAAACCATGTCCCCATGCTTTCTGTGGCAAAGCTTTCTTGTGCTTCCTGCTTGGTCAGTGATACATGAGTTGACTGTTCACACTAGGCCTGCTCTCACACCCAGTGTGCTGCTGCTAAGATCCAGTGAATTACACATCTGTGCAAATCAGTAAAGAACACCCTGCTAGCCTCACACATCCCTGTGGGCTGGGCTCTGGCTGTGACTTTCCCTTAGCCACCCTTGTCCAAGGCTCACCTCTACATCCTGACTCCATAGCTCTTCCAGGGGCCTTCCTCCACTACGGCCTCTTCCTATCCTCAGCTCACACTGATCATGTTCAAGACTGTCTGCAATGAGGTCCACAGATCTTAACCCTGCCTGCTTTCCTTCCTCTTTCTATTTGTTGCTCAGTTTGTGACTAGTCTCTGCAGTTACATGCCCATGTGAAGAAACCTACAAGCTTGAGCCTATGTTGACTTCTAATGTTTAGATCCAGTCCTAATCCTAAGCCTCATAGGATCTCTGCTTAGCCCAAGTTTTCCTGGAAACAATGGATGCCACTTGCACAGATGGAAAAGCCTCAGTCTTCACTCACAACCTCCTTCGGCAGTATTTTACTTGAAGGCCCTCTTACATATCGAGGCCTTCCATCCTCCGGAGGCCATGAACATGTGAATAATAACATAGTTTATTATGCACATAGTAAATGTATAGCATGGCATTAAACCCTTTTGTACATAATAATTAAGTCAAGAGCTTTAAAATACTAAGTGAAACTGGTTAATACTCAGGACCAGAATTCAAACTGGCAACTATCTGATTTCATAGCCCACAATTTTAAACTGTATGTTAAGTAAAACTATAATAACTGCAT